AAGAAAATCGTGCTTTTCACAAAGTTCATCTCACTAGGAAAAGCCCTTCGTTAGCTTATATTTCCCTTCATCAGTCCTAACTGTGCACACGCACGTTTCTGTCGTTCAGGATTTTGGATGACGTTGCGTGCTGCTGCACTGTGTTTAAAGCAGGTGTCCTGTGTGTATTGGTTTATAATTGACTGCAGTGTCTGTTGTGCCAGCTGACCTTCCCGCTTGCGACCCGTAGGTGAAGGCGCCTGTGATTTCACAAGCATTTCATTCAGTGTCCGAACCAAAAGGAAAAGGAGGGCCAGCAGTGGTGGGGGAGACTCTCCTGAGCATGGAATAGATGTCCCAGAGGTAAGCATCGCGCCAGACCGTGTCTCCTCTGCTGAAACTGCTTGACGCTTACTGTGTCTCATTAAGTCACTGAAATCGGGGTGGGGGGGACTGTGTATTGGATTAGAGTGCTTTCACATGGCCAGGAAAAATAATTTCCTTTTCACTTAAACTGCAGCCGTGTTACTTCCCACAGGGGTTTCGTGTTTTGAAGAAGAATTTGTATTTTGATGGGGAGGATCCTGGTTGTTGAGAGCATTTTCTGTCGTCTTTCATTGCCCCCGAACGAGTCGGTCCCTGGCTTTGCATCTTCTCTGGTACTTTTCATTCGACACTTTTTATGGAAAGGGAGTTACAAAAATGTTTGGAAACCACGCAACTCTGCAACCCAGTGCGCGCGGCTGCAGCCAGGTGCGTTGGAGGCATTCAGCGTGTTATTCCAGGTCTGTCGTTGGTGCACGCACAAAAAATCATTTTAGCACTGATCAGGTCCTCTTCCTCGATGCCTGACTGCTGTCACAGCTACCAGAAATCCCACTACAGAGACCAAGTCAGCTCATGCAGGGCTTGAAACTACACCTTGAATGCAACGCGCTTATGGCTACGCTCTGGGATGCTGCAATACGCAATAAGCTTCTCCCCGCACCCTTAGGCTCACTCACTTTTGCTGTTTCTGGTATACAGCCTACAACGCTGATCAGGACTGGGCTGTTTGACCGCCCCTGCGGCTGTAGCTCTGCCCGCAGAGCCCTCTAGCGGGTACCAGAAGCTGCAGCCGAGACGTTTTCTGCTGGTATATCACACCGTCTCCCCAAACGGTGTTAACCAACCTGACAGAAGTGCTTGTGCACTAGCATGGCTCTGGGCGTGCACACTGAATGACTGTCAGCTGGAGTGAGGGGCTGGTCTTCGCCCTTCTTGCTGACACCGCCACTCCAGCAAAGCTTTGCAATGCAGAGCTGGGTTCAGTTGCAACAGGAGCCAGGAACCAGTTGACCCTTAAAATATAGCGACTGCACAAGCTCACTTGCTGGGCTTTGTGAGCCAGAGCGGAGGCGGCCAGCTTTTTTGGTAGATGTGCAACAAATGAACCCTGCAGCCTCCCAAAGCATCACTCCAGTCCCCTCCCCTTGCTGGATCTGCTGCTCTGCTTACTGCCCTATGCTCCCCACCTGCTCTGCTCTGCTCTGCTTTCTGCTCCCTGCCCTATCTACCCCTGTCCCTTGCCCCAGTCTGCTACACACCGCACACACCGGCTGCCCGTGCCACTTGCAGCGTGCGCCGTGGTCTGGCAGCCGCTGCCTTAGATGGGAAGAGTGAAGTGGCATTCAGCACTTCACTGCAGAAGTGACTGCTTTAAAACAGAAAGAGAAGACACTTTGCAGTTCATCCTTCATAGTAGTGGCTCCTCCATCCTTCCTGGCCTTTTGGCAGGATTTCCTTTTGTTGTTGTACGTGCTTTCCACCTCCCCTTCCTCCATGGATGGTCGCTCTCACTCAGTAGAAATCACGTGTTGACAGCTTGAAATATCCATGACTTTGATTCTTTCCAGTATAAAAAGCCCTGTGTGTGTGTGTTGCCATAAGCAATTTCCTTAGTGGCTGCTAAACTGATATTTCATGTGCAAATCTAAGCTCTCTGGGAGCAAAAGGATTGCCAAGGCTGCAGAAGCGTCACTGAGAGTACAGCTTGTCCCCATGGCTGGGTGTTGGCTAACAGTCCTGTTGATGGTACACGAGAGAGTTTCCCGTTCACCTTGACGCTGTTTTGGCTGGATGGCATTAATGGGCATGAAGAATACTTGTGTTTGTCACTAGTGCAAGCAGCTGTGGCTCTGAAGGTAGACGGGGAGCAGTCAGGTCAAGTCAGGAAGTGCTATTTTTAGAGCCATTATGGACTAACACCTTGAAGCCAGTTCTCATCCCATTTTTCCCTGCCTATCC